AAAACCGCAAACCCACAAAACAAAAAAACCTAATGTGGAGTTGATTATTTATTGCTTAATAGTACAGGCTTAAAATTTGTATTTGAGACCCTAAGGCTGTCTTGTGTAGTATTTACTAAAGGGTACAGATATTATGAGTAGAAAAAACTCTGGTAATTAACATACTCTCTCTGTGAAATTTTACACGTTCGTGGCAAGACAGTAAATATATGGGATAAAAACATGGTAAGGAAAGATGAAGTAAATAGTAAAAAGTGGAGTTGACCAAATTAATACAACTGGAAATGCAAATGTTGTAGTGGAACGTTATGAAATTTATTTTATATTTAACGGAAGAATTTTAAGAACATGGAATGTCAGACAAGTAACACTATGACTATGTGTGAACAACTTCTTTTGGTTGTTTTGAAAACCTTTCTGAAGAATAACTTAAGAAATAATTGGTGTTCATTATGTTCTTAAACTAAATTTCACTGAAGTTAGTAATGAATTTTTCTTTTCCTTACATGTATTTTAACAAGGCAAAGCTTTGGGTTTTATTCTAAGAGAAAGTGTTTTCAATAAAGCTGAAGAGTCTTGATACTCTGATTACTTTTAACTTTCTGATGAAGTTTTGAAAGCCATGTTTCATTAAGTAGTGTTACCTGGCAAGCTTTCTGTTTGTTTTGGTTTTGTTTTTTTAATAGTACTTTTATTTCTTTTGGAAGAAGTGATATGGATCGAAGATTTACTTTTGATACGTTTACTGAATTGTGTGATGTTTATTTCTCGGGTCCTCCGTTGCCCAGAGGAAAAGTTCTATTTTTAACATTGCTGATACTTTAGAGTTAAGTCCTCTCATTGTCGTCTTTGAAGCTAATGCACCTTTTTTTTTCTTTTCTTTTTCCTTATAGGTGCGCTTAGACCATAATGGGAAATTTTATAATGCCCATATTCAAGAAGTTTATTCAGAGAATGGGCCAGTTGTTGTATTTGTAGAAGAACTTGGAGCAAAGTAGGTGCTTAATCCCTTTCGGAAAGGAGTGCCAAACTGAACCTTGGTAATGGCAGCATTACCTTAGTTCAGAGTTAATTTCAGCCCCTGAAGTGTATCTGCTTCTTTACTAGAAGCAGTACTACCACAAAAGTGTTAAGAAAACAACGTACTAAATAAAAAAAGGAAAAAGGGGTTCTTCATTAATTGCCACTTCAGACTTTCTTCTTTAGTGCTAAGTAGTCTGGATATTACTTGCAGAGTAAAACAGTAACTGCATTAGTATTAGAATTTTTTTTTTTTGCACAAGATTCAATCTTGAACAGATTGATACCATCCTAATGAAGTGTTGTGTGTTGTGCTTAATAATTACATGGTAGATTTGTGACAAGCTTTTCATATTAAAAGGTCCATCAAATCACCTAGCTTCTCTGTTGATTGAGTAGCTCTGCCAGATTTCATACAGAGAGTGCCAAGTTGCTGTTTACATCAGCATCATCTTTGCCATACCTTGGTACAAACTAAATGTTTAAAGTTGTTGGTGGGGGTTGTGGGGGTTTTTTGTGTGTTGTTGGTTGGCTGTTTTTGTTGTTTTTTCTAGCATAATAGTGGTGGTGGTTTTGGTTGTTGGGGGGAGTTGTTTGTTGGTTTTTTTGGTGGGGGGAGGGGTTGAGACATCTTCTTGAGCTCTGCTATATGCTCTGTAACTCTTCTGGGAGGGGGGGGGAACCCCACAGTTGAGTGGGGTAGGGAAGAGGAAATACTTCCAGTCAAGGTAAATGAGGGAAGGAAGAAGATGCCCATTAATCTCACATGATCTTCTTCTGTAAAAAAAAAACAAAACAAACCAAAAACCAAAAAACACCCAAAAAACCCCCAAACCAAAACAACAAAAAACCCCTGTTGTGAGATCTGAAGATTGTCTCACAGTTTGTTCCCTTTTAAATTGAGATTTAACCTGATTTGAACTGTCCATTATAGATTTTAATGTCTTCCTTTCAAATAATGTAAACAGTTGCTTGGACATCGTGTAGCATCCTCAATTAAAAATGCAGTAATTGCTCTAGGATATAAACCACCAATATAATGTTTTTCAATCTTGACATCTGTTGTAGTGTTTGTGATAAACTTATCTGCATATATTGCTTTTTCTGATCATTCTCCTTTTCTGTCCGTCCTGAAGACATTATAATACTCACTTCACAAATGGCTGGTCATTCTTTACTGGATAAGTTTGCATCAACTTACCAGAGAGAGTTTTATTTTTAAAAAAAAAAAAAAAAAAGGTTTGTTCTTCTACACATTGCTTGAGTGTAATCATAAAGAACAAAGGACTTTGAATGCAATGTTCTCAAAAATGGAAAGATCCATCGCTCTTAATAAATGTGGTATTAATTTATGCAAGCCCCAGTCTGCATATCTGCAATATCTTTAAGATATTTTTCCCTCCCTAATTCCTTGTTTTTTAGGCATGCTGTCTCACTGAAGAGCCTTAAACCTCTTCCACAGGCCTCTCCTATGGAGGGCTGGAACACTGTGCCAGGGAAGAAGATAAAAAAGTTTTTCCCAACATGGGGGCAGAATGCTCAGCCTGGTAGGATTGTACCTGTCTTTGTGTGGCAGAATCTTTATTGTCAGATGTTTTGTCCCAAAGAGCTTAAAAAAAACCAAACAAACCTGTTTTCATGTTTTTATTACAGATGCAGATTGCAGAGGGCCAAAGAATCAGAGCAAGTCAATAAAACCCCAGTCAGCACTACCTCCTAGACTTCAGCATACTGTGGGAACCAGGCAGCATCAGTTCTTATGTTCTGGATCCCAACCTCATCAGACCTCAACTGAGCAAAAAGCTCCAGGCAGGAATCCTTCCCAAACTGTAAGGTAAAACTACAAATAACATCCTTATCTGGAACTCTGGCTAAGCTTCTTGAAGCCCAGGTGCCTGCTTGAGATCCTTCCAACATGCTCTTCTGAAATATATTGCCATTGAATTCTTAAGAAGTGTTCCAAGTCTGTAAGAATACACACAAGCACAGGAAAAATAATTCTTTTCTTTAATTTTTTAAACCTTTTTCAAAATTGCTGCCATCATGAGCTCCCACTTTTTTTCTTGCATGGCAGCATCTCCCCTGGAAGCACCGTACACCAAACTGCAGCTTCTTCTTGGAAAGTGGATGTTGGGTTTTTTTCTGGTTGGGGCTGAAGTAATGTTGCACATAGTGCTTCTTGGGCATGGCTAAGATCTTCCTTCAGCTTCTGCAGAACCTATCATAGAGGACTGCTCCATGTTATGACTGATCACTTGAAGGAGTATGAGACCAGCATTTTGCCTGCATTTGTTGGTAGTGATTTTTTTGACTTGTGCTGCTGCAGCAGGGTTTCTGTTTTCATCATTGCCACTCTTCTGTCCTATCTAAACGAGTATTCTGTACTTGGCTACAACCCAAGCTCTTCATGGTCTCCTGTCACTCTTCTGTATCTTAACTCCTTGTGGAATAAATGGGGCTGGGGTGTCTTTGGAGTCTGCCACATGCAACTTTTAAGGGCATTCTTCTACCTTTCACCTACATACATGAGTACCCTAAAATGTTCAGTTAAATAATTCAGACAGCTGAAACAGTGATGTTAATTTTGTGTAGTGATGCTTCAGACATTGAAAATTATAATCCATTTTCCCTTTTGTTTTATTTACAGAAATCTTCTTCCCCAACTTGCTCTTGCATGTTCATAGATAGTAGATGGGGGGGTGGTCAGTACTCAATTGGCACAGAAATGGATTAGATCGCTTGATGTAGGTGTTTGGTTTTTAACTATGATCTAAAGTTACCATTTGGATTAAGTCTTTCAAAATTGTATTGAACTGAATAAATCATGGACAAAATCCATTCTTTCCCTTAAATTTTATGCATATGGGTAACTTGCAGTGGGCAGAAAGGGATCTGGTATATGTGGAATCACATAAGCAGTGCTATATAATTATCTTCTTTCTAAACCATGAGTTTGTATTGTGTTTGATACTGGTGAATTTCTTTGTTGAAGTGATACTGTTTAATTTTTTCCTTTACAGAAAACCAGACCGGGAGAGAACTGAGGATCTGAACCATGGGAGCAGAGATTGTAACTACTTTGGCCTGTCTCCAGAGGAACGCAGGGAGAAACAGGCTATAGAAGAATCTCGTTCACTTTATGAGATCCAGCAGAGGGATGAACAAGCTTTTCCTGCTCTTTCCAATGTATGTGGCTTTTTTAATTGTAGTTAATAGTGGATTTTTCATACTTGCCCGTGAACCTTTAATTAGCAATTATTGTTTTGCTGTCCTTGCATTACAATACAATTCAAAAGTTAAGGATATGTTCTTTACACTCACTTTCCACATAGAAATATGTGAATCTACAGTGCTTTATATATTCAAGATAAGACACGTACATGGTAGTTTCCCTGGGAATAATTGATGTCCACCATACACAGTTCTTTAGGCCTGTAATTATGGTAGATGTGAGCTTCTGAAGCTGTGGGCTTCTTTCTTCATGTTCCTCCTGTCTTTGGAAGGCTTTGCACTCCCTTACAGTTACTCAGATGTTGTCTTTTTCTTGTATGGTGGGATCAAACCTCAAGGTGAGGACAGAACTTGCTCTGAAGTACAGTTTAATTTAACTGAGAAATAGCTCAGTAAAATGGCACTGTGGTGCTTGAATTAGAGGTGACTAGGTGATTGTTTCTGATTTGGTTCACATAAAACCTGCTTCATTTATAAGTGACTTTTCTTTTTAGCCTGAGAACTTACTGGTGTGAGAACTTGCCTGGTGTCACAAGTAATGCAAATTGTCAGACTTGCTCTTTTACTCGTGTGGAGCTAGCTGGCTTCAATGGACTTGTCTACATCTTAGGGAAGAATGTAGCCTTTGGATTCTGAGAAATTACTCTATTGATGCAATTTTTAAAGTGCATCGGAGTCTCAGGGAGCGAGCAGATCCTCTGGGTAAAGAGCTTGCTGTCCCCATAGGTTTATTCTAGAGACATGTGGGGCTTTTTGGATTTAAATCCTAAGGCAAACAGAAACAAGAAGTGGGCTGGGAGGAATGAATAGGTGAAAGATGGGCCTTAAATCTCTTGCTTTGTGGAAGTGACTTCCTGCACCGTATCTTTCAGTTCTTGAGCAGTAATTACTTAAATTGGTGTAATCGAGAAGACGTGTACAGCTCTTCTGCACTGCAAAGAGCAGGCTAAGACGGAAGCCTAATGGACAGAGGTTGCTCTCTCTCTCTCCGAGCTGTGGTAGACAGTATGCTGCATTTGCTCACCTGCAGAAGGAGGATATGATTTTAAAGCGGATATTGTCCAAGTGAAGCAGTTTGTTTGTCATATAAACTAATGACGAATGCTTTTAAAGGACACTTTGCAA